TCTTGGAATAAAATCTTTGTGGTAAATCTGTTATGGATTGGTACTACATGCCCTGGGATGATCACTTAGGTAGTGCTGTGAATACAAAGGCAATGTGTCGGACATAGTTTTGAGAAAAGGAAAATATATCTCAGGCAATGTCTATGAGTCAGCTGGAGCCTATCCCAGCTGACTTAAGGCGAAGGCAGGAGACACCCTGGACAGGTCACCAGTCTATCACAGCAACACTTAGAGACAGACAAGCAAGCACACTCACATTCACACCTACAGACATTTTAGAATCACCAATTAACCTCAGCATGTTTTTGAAGGAAGCCGCAGAACCTGGTGAGAACCCACGCTGCACAGGGAGAACATGCAAACTCCACGCAGAATAATCCCAGGCATCTTAACTGGGATGCGAACTAGGGATCTTGTTCCAAGGCAGTATAAAGTATATAGTGCTGTGAAAAATGATTTGCCTCCCTACAGATTGTAACGACCCTCCGCCAGTCAACCAGGTGTCCTGTGTTTTCTTGCAGAAACTGGATGAGGGTCGTCTGTTGATTGAGCCACACCTGGGCCCAGTGGCTCAGGCCTCCCTCATTCTCAGTCTCTCTCTCTCTAACAGGAGCTCACTGTGACAGAAGCTGCCCTTGGTTTTTTTGCTTTTGATTGGTTGTTTGATGCACATTTTGATTGCTCTTTGATTACAATAAATAGCATTTTAGTCACCACTCAGTTGTTGTTTTCCTGTTTTGCTACAGTCTTTGAGCCAGGCTGAAACAAGTTATCTTGAATTTCTGTATATTTGTCACACATAAATGTTTTAATTCATCAAGAAAATGTTCATATAAGACAAAGATAACCCAAGAAAACACAAAGTTGTGGTTATGGCATCTTGGCTCCCACTTTTTTATTGTACAGACATGAGTATCAGTCTTCCAAAAAAAATCAAATCTTTGTTTAAAACATTACCTGTTATCATTTTGTATCTATTTGATTTAACCACTACAAAAGGTGTCACATCAAAAGTGCACAACTGTCAGTTTGTAGGAAGAAAAGTTAAATACAGCACCATTTAATCAGATAGTTATTGGTTCTTGATTTTCAAATCCCACTTCCCTCAACTGAGTTTTTTGATACTTGCACAGTTGGGGGATTCCCATATGCAAATTTGTAGTATAAGGAATATCAGCTCCGTCCAAAAGAAATTCTGTACCTATTAATGTTATGTTTTACTGGAAGCTCCTTAGAGTTGAGGAATAGACTGAAACAAAATTGAAGAGTTGAAATGAAAATTGAAATATAATCACCTTATTAGATTCAACTCTCTGTTTGTTGTTCCTGGCACCCACTCATGTTTTTTTTTTCCTGCTTTTTTTGGTGCTTGTACTTTGGCTCAGAGAGGAGGCTACCTGCTGGGTATCTGTGGAGCAGAGTCCATTTGTCCTCGGTCTCACAAGTGAAAATGGAGAGCTGCTGCTAGATGACTGCGTCCAAATCACAGAGGGCATGAAGACCAGGGAGAGACACCTGTTCCTCTTCAGCAAAGTTATTGTCTTTGCTAAACTCAAGTAAGATGTTAATATATGTTCCAAAATACAGAGGGTGAGAATCAGTTATTTTCAGGAATGTGTGGAAGATGAAGTTAGCCTCAATGGTCAAAAAAAAAAATACTGCTTTGAAAAAACTAATTCAACCAACAAATAATATAAAACAAAATAAGAAAATACTGTGATATTTAAGTAACGTTCTGCTCACAAATGTATGCAGTTAGAATGGAAAAGCGAAAGAGGAACCAAAACAAAATGTGTATTTTTTTAGACTGTATGCTTGCATTATTGGGGAATGTCCCAACAGTACAGGCTGTTTGTGTTCAGTCACTCTGACTTAAATAATTAGAAGAAATCTAGGTGGTTCCCTCTGAGCCACGTGAGTGGAAAGTTAATGGTATTTACAGGGGAAAAAAATATACTTGTCTCTCAAGGTAATTTCAACCCATCTTTAGCATTAAGTTGCCTCTCTTATAAGTGACAAGTACAGAAGAATCTTCTTTTCTTGTCCCTGTATAAAACAGTATTATCTTGCTTTTCAAAATCTATACACAACATGAGCTGTTTGCGCAGCTTCACCAGATAGATCTGTTTGTCAAAGTCAGGAAGTTTTCAAGCTTTTGAGTGGGAGTATAATCACAGTCATCTCTGTACCACAACCTGCCCCCTGTTTCTGTAGGTACTCTAAGCTGGAACAGTATGATACACATACACAGACACTGAATCATAATCCAATCACATTATTACAGCTTCATAGATTAGTACAGCTGTTTGGGAAATACACTTTTTTGAGTTCGGTGAGAAGAGCAATACCACTCTGCTGTCTGCATAGTGAATACGAAGCTACAGCAAGTAGTCAACTATTTGTAGTGTAAAGTCAGACTGTAAGCAGGTAAAAATAAATAGCTTTTTCCATGAATAGCTCTTACCTTCTCATAAATAGCTGTGTTCATAAAAGAAGGTTCATAAATATGATTAGCAACACTTCTAAAGCTTACTGATTAATGTGTTCTATCTTGTTTCATTTATCAGTATTTAAACTGAAATGTAAAATTTTGAAAGTTCCGTTTGTAAGCTAAGTTAGGTCAACTGCCTCTCAGCTTCAGCTCCAAATCAAACTGACATATAATTGCCAACAAGAATACTCTCATTAACTTCTTGTCTGTTTAATCTGTTCACAATTTACAAGTTGTAAAGTCTGTTACATAACGCAGTGATGTGAGAGCGGTTTTAATATTTGCTAACTCTGTGAATTGTTCAGAAAGTAAATGATTTTTCTTCTCAAAATTTTAAACTCTTTCCTTGAACAAACAAGCTAATTTGTGTACAACTGTCGGTTTTAGAGGCGTTGGTAATACTTACAACTCAAAAATTTGTATTTTCCGAAATCTTAAACTATTTCTTCAATATTTTAATTAAATAATTGCCTTGTAGACTGGCTCTGTGTCAAAATAGAAATTCAAGATCTGTTTAATTATTTGGTTGCAGTAGACAATTGCTAAATGGTAAATGGTTCAAACAGTATTCATAAAATGTTTTATGTTCATTGAATATATAAACATACAAACTGACATAGGACAAACAGTACTGCTTGAAATCTGGGTTTAAAAAGCTCTCCATAACCCACTGTATAACTCCAGCTGGTCAGTCTGTCACTTTTTCTTACTATTTCTATAACATGAAACCTCCTGAATCCCTTCCTGAGCATATCAGCTGACGACCAGCAGACGAGAGGCAGGGTTCACCCTGGTCAGGGCAAGGTGCCAATCCATAACACAAAGACACAAATTATTCAAAACGAGTATGCTTTTAAAGGTGCAGGTTTCAAAAGAAGCTCTGACGTGATAAATTAGCTCTAAAGTTTCCACAAAAAGAAAGGACTATTTAGATGACCTTTACTCTACTTTTTGCTTCTGTTTTAACAGGTCAACTGCCAGCTACCATCTGAAGCACAGAGTGAACCTCGAGGACATCTGGCTTTACAGTTTTGAGGATGAGGTGGAAGAAGAAGGTGGAACAATGGGGGATATTGATCATCGGTTGACCCTTGTCCTGGCCTGGGATGTCACTTTTTGTCTAGTGTGTTTTCGGTAAGAAGACAAATGGCAAATGTCTAACATGCAGATCTCTTGAATGCCTGGATACACATGCTTCAGCATTAACTTGCATAGTACAGCTCCAGCTGTAGCTGGAGGATCTGCATGTGGTTGTTATTTTTCCTCGAACACCCTAATTCTGCTCATAACTCTAACATTTAAATTAAAATTAAAAACTCCCAAATCGGGCTGCAAGGTGGCGCAGTTGGTAGCACTGTTGCCTCGCAGCAAGAAGGTTGCCGGTTCGCGTCCCGGTGGGGGCACCGGAATCTTTCTGCGTGGAGTTTGCATGTTCTCCCCGTGCAGCGTGGGTTCTCTCCGGGTTCTCCGGCTTCCTCCCACACAGTCCAAAAACATGTTGAGGTTAATTGGTGATTCTAAAATGTCCGTAGGTGTGAATGTGAGTGTGCTTGGTTGTCTGTCTCTAAGTGTGGCCCTGCGACAGACTGGCGACCTGTCCAGGGTGTCCCCTGCCTTCGCCCTAAGTCGGCTGGGATAGGCTCCAGCCCCCCCGCGACCCTAGTGAGGATTAAGCGGTGTATAGAAAATGGATGGATGGATGGAATTCCCAAATCTAACTTCTTGAAGATTTTTGCTTAAATGCAATTAACATCATACTTTGTTGTTAATGTGTAAAACTATTAATTAGATTAGATCAGATTAGATTAGATTCAATTTTATTGTCATTACACATGTACATTAACAAAGCAACGAAATGCAGTTAGCATCTAACCAGAAGTACAATAATGCAGAGTATGAAGTGCATATATATATATATAGATAGATAGATAGATAGATAGATAGATAGATAGATAGATAGATAGATAGAGATATACACACACACACACAGTGATTAAAAGGAATCAAAGTATATTTTTCTCTACTGTGAATTTTTTATATGAAAAGCATAAAATGTTTCATTTGTGGCTTTCATTTGTTTTTCATTAACATACTATGTGAGTTTTGAGTTGTTTGTTTTAAAAATGAACAGCCTTTTTCTATTTGGATGCATGTGCACTGCTAATGATTCAGTGTGTGTTGGTTTCATTCTTGTTCAGTCACATGGAGATCATCACGGAGGAGAAACCACACGCTCACTTGTTGACATTTTTGCTGTCACTCATGCCCTTACTCATATGGCACTTTAAGTGTGTGGCTTCTATTTAGATTATTAAAGATGACAGCCTTCAGGTGTGTACGTAGGCACACATAGCTTTTTCATTGTCTTGTTTCCATTGACGGACATCAAGCCACAGCTAAGCTCGTGTAGGAGGAAGTGGAAGGTGTCTGGTTGGGGGCTGCCGTGACGTTGCTTCCTGTTCCCATGACTGAGTTACAGTTTCCACCAGAGTTGTTAAAAGAGACAATGGGTGTACACTTCATTTCATTCCTGCCACTTTAATCTGCAGGTTTGTTTTATGTTCTCTGTGGATTAATAAATCATCTGATGGTTTTGTTTTACCAACAGCTGGCCTGAAGTGAAAGAACGCTGGTTCGATACTCTTCAGAGGTAAGAACAACAGTTTTATTTATAGAAAAGTTTATTCTAGCAAACTGTTGTGGACACTCTTTTAGTTATCGTAACTGATGAGACTCGGGCAGTATTTGAGATCGACTGTAAAGGCTTTGTAGATAATGTGGTATTTATATTATCAAGATGATATCTTTAAACAATGTAGAATTCTGGTAATGTGTCCCTAATAATAAAATAGGTGGTAGCAATGAATTTAACCACCCTTAATTCACAGTTTGACCTTGAAATCAACGCTTTGGGTTTTTATAAAAAATTCAATTTGAAGACCCAAAAATATGACTACTCAGGCAGAGTGCATTGTGTTTGAAGATAAAAGGGACATTTCTCAGCAAGTGTGTTTTGTTCTTATCACAGAAAAATTAAAGGTGCAAAAGCGAGGGCTGGTTGTGCTTCTTCACCGCCAGACGTCCTCATGAAGGTGTTGAGTGGCAGCATCGCAGTAAGTCTCTCAACAAACACCCACTAAACAGAACATTAAAAATTGAAAAGGAGCTGTTGGTAAATAAAATCTCTTTCTCTCTCTTTTTCACTGTTTTGTAGACTAAAACTCTAACTGGAGGTGGCATGGAACAATTGATTGAGTTTCCATTTGATGTAAGTAAAATCCCAATTTAACCATCTTCTTGTGGTAAAAATGTTCACGTGAAACAACTATTAACAAAAGAGTCCTGCATTTCTCTGCTCCTGCTGAAACAAGGCTACATCAGACAGATTTGGTCGGATCAATATACAGCTTCTGAAAAGCATAAATTTGTAGGAAGTACTGTTAAACTGCACAATAAAAATATATACAGTTAAAGATGATTTAAAAAAATGACACATATGACTGATTAGTATTAGTTTGCATTTGTTTTTTTCTAGTCCAATTTTGTCTTTCTAACTTATTCAGCTGTAAACAGTTGGTTAAGTTAAAAAAAAAAACAAAAAAAAAACACAACCCCCACTAACTGTTCTTGCTTGCATACTCATCTTTGTTACATCACTTTTTTTATTATTATTTTGTTTCCAGGGTGATGCAAAGATCTCTGCTCTGTCAAAGCAGTGTAATAATCAAGAGGACAGGCTGACACAGCCCATTGGTGAGTTTGAAAGTCTCTTGTTTTGCAGATGTCTCTTCGCTGCAGGGGGGAGGGTCACATTATGTGTGCCATGTCTAGAGATGACACCAAAGAGAATAACCACAAAGATTGAAAAAGGAAGTCTAGCTACTGATGGTAGTGAACAAGTGAATAACAGTTTTCATCACATTGGCACTCTTGTAAATCTGGTTTTATCGCTATTTTGCACTAATTCAGAAGCATTCATTTATATATATATATATATATATATATATATATATATATATATGTGTGTGTGTGTGTGTGTGTGTGTGTGTGTGTTAATTGATGAAACATTTCTGTTACTATCAGAAACCAAGTGGAGCCTGGTGAGGAGGCTCAGAAAGGGCTCTAGTTTCCGCATTAAACCATGCAGAACAGAAGCAGACACCAAGACTCAGCTGTTTGGACAGCCCCTCTTCAAGATATGTCCAGATGACTGTTCACTTCCCAAACCTATCACAGTAAGTTGAACTTTGACAAATTTCAGATTTTATGTCATGTCAGTTAGTTTGTTTCTCTCCAGGATTTGCTGTTGTTCTTCTGTGAGCATCAACTGTAAACAAGTTTTTTCTTACATGAGCTTTGACAGTGGCATTCATAACAAGGAAAGGAAGCCATTCAAGCACATGAGCTGCATGTTGATTAGACTCACACACACATCCTGTTTCTGATTTTATTAACTCTCTTTCCCTCATCAGGACCTGCTGGTGTTGCTTAGGAGGAGAGGTCCATCCACAGAAGGGGTGTTTCGGAAGCCATGCAACAGCAAGCACATGAAGGACATCAGAGAGCAGCTCAACAGCGGTGTGGAGGTGGACCTAGAGGGTCAGCCAGTCGTTCTCCTCGTTGGACTGCTCAAAGTATGTTTGTGTACCTGTTGAGAAGACACTTTTATTGTTACTGTTGTATTTGGTCACTTGTGCTACAGCACTTGCGGTACCATTAGTTTTATGAAACCTTTGTCACAACTGATGTTCTTACAAGTCTATTTTGACCATTACCACTTAACTACAACTGCAACTTCTATTATAATGGTAGTATTGTGGTAGCTGTTAGAGTACTCAGATATGTTACTTAAATGAGATTAGCAATATTTAAGTGCTTTTACTTTCGCAAAAAAAAAATAAAAAATTAGCATCAGAATTTAAGTCACAAGATCATTCCTGTTAATAATTACTGTGTGTCATCGCCATCCTTTTCATTTTTCACAGAGCTTTCTGAAGGAACTGCCTGGCAGCCTGCTGGTGTCTGAACTTTATGACAAGTGGATGATGGCTCTGGACAATGAAGATACCCAGCAGAGAGCTGTGGAAATCAAAAAGTAAGCAACTGTTACCTGCTAGCAAGTCTAGTCAGTGCCATTTACCTGCATGTTGCATTTACTGAATATATGGCATTTAAATGTGAAAGAAAAGCAGATGGAATTTTCATGAATGGTTGTTTGGCTAAGAGCAAACATAGGTTTGGAGTTTTACAGGGTAATTCTAAATGTCCTCCGTTTGTGGCATGAACACAAACCACTTCTCTCTTTTTTTTTTTTTTGAAAGTCAGTCTTCTGTTTTAAAAAAAAAAAAAAAAGGAAGAAAGTTAAACAAAAAAGGAACGCCAATCTAATCTTCTTCCTGTTTTTTCCTGAACTGCCAATCAGCGTTTTAGATGATCTCCCAGGGCCGAACAAACTCCTCCTGCGACATCTAATATGTGTCCTCCATCACATCCTTGAGAATGCGGATATCAACAAGATGGATGCTTACAATCTGGCAGTGTGTATTGGCCCCACACTCCTGCAGCTGGATGACACCCGACTGGATGAGCAGAAGGAAAAGATGAAGAAGGTCTTGTAAAGCCATGTTATGAATATACTTTCTCACTTTTTGTGCTTTGAAGCTTTGTGGTTCATACTGCAGAACACCTCAAAGGTTTCCTAAGCATGATTACACTCAGAATTTGATAGTTGTTTGGTTTGCTAACTACAGAGCCATAGTAAGTGATATTAAAAAACAAACCATCTGGACCAAGTGCACTGTGCATCTGTTTTCAGAATTCAAAATTTTCACTTTAATTTTCAACAGGGATATTGATGTTCATTTTACTTACCATGGTTCCTTTTCTGATTTGCTTCAGGTAACAGAGTTGACTCAGTTCCTGATTGAGAATTGTGAGATTCTTGGAGGGAACATCCCAAGTTTGCTGGACACTGATGAAGGTAAACTATAACGTCACTTAAACCTTTATCATTGTCTTCCTTTGGGGACTGAAGGACCATAACTCAGACATTGTTGAGGTGATGAGGTGGCCTGAATTTTATGTTTGACTTTTTGTAAATGCAAGACCTTCTCTCGTGTTACTATCATTTGGTCTGGACCCCTTAACTTTCGCAACATAATTCTCTCTAATTTTTCAACCCAAATCCAACTCAGCAAGATTAATGTATGTTATTGAAAAAAAAATGTATATAGAAAATAATAATAATAATAATAATAATAATAATATAATAAATAAATAAATAAATAAATTTGAAAAATAATACTAATAATCTGCCTTTATGAGATGTGGTTCCAACATATTGTATGTTTTGTTGTATCTATTCAAATGGAGATAAATTTAACTAGATTTGTACAAACAAGGTAAATAAAAATAAGTAGATCCTTATCATGTCTTTTCTTTTTTTTACTTTACAGACTCCTTGTCCTCCCAGCATCATGACTCTGCATATGACAGCACTGATCCAGATGGAGATGGAGAGGCAGGAGAGAATATGAGACCCACACATGAAAAGTATGGCTCATCTTCTTCATCTTCCTCTCTTAGTCCCAACACTGCCACCTCTTCTTGGCCATCTGATGCCGTCTTCAACACAAAACCAGAATTCAACCGTCGCTGCTCTGAGCCCATCATCCTTCTTTCAGCTGATCTTCAAAGCCTTTTCAGTCATGCAAGGAGCCATGATGACTGCTCCATGGAGAGGAAGAACTTTGATGAGCAGCCTCTGAAAAAGCAGATCTCTGATGACTCCTTCTTGCTCAGAGATCGAGGTGGAGCCAAGTCAGTTCTGTCTTTTCCAAGAATTAGCAGCAGCTCCAATATGGATCCACTGCCCTACATGGGCAAAAACTGCTCCAGCTCTTCCCTAGATAGCGCTGCCTCTAACCAATCAGAGGGCTCTGTTTTCACCAGTTCCCCACTGGGGTCACCACGATGCCACAGGAGAGCAAATGCTATCAACCAGATACCAGTGGCCACAAAGGCTCAGCAGGACATTGCCAGACCAATTTCAGATGAAAGGAAACGTTCACAGTCTGTGAGAGTAGCCCCTAAAGTCCTAATGAGGACCAGGAGTTTAGGAGCCTTTAGCAGGAGCAGCCTGAAGAAAAACTCTCAGAAGGAAAACGCCTTCCCTTGTGAAACACTCCAGGAGGACTTACAGATTGAAGCAGATCCACCAGCCAACCTTCTTCACAGATCACAACGCCTCTCTGCAATTGAAGTGTTTAAGCAAATGGACAGTCAGCTGCCCTGCAGGCCTCCATCATATGAGCAAGCAGTTCAGAACGTGAGTTTCCCTCCACAGTATCAGTCAATGACTGTGCAAGATGCCGTAAACCTGGAGAGGAGGTCCCGCCCATCCTCTGTTAACTATGACTTTCCACCTGCATTCATGCGCAATGAGGACTGTTTTGCACAGGCAGCACAGGATAAAGCCAATGTTGTTGAGCGAAGGCAGCCTTTCCGCCAGAGAGCCATGTCCGAATCTGTACCTGCAGGCCATCATGAGGTCATGTCACGGAGATGTAGCCAGCCTGTGTTTGAGGAATTTAATTATGCCAAGGAGTCTTATGTTTGATTGACTTTATAGCAGTTTTACAGAATGGATTTTAGTTACACAAACCTTTTTCAAAACCAGAAAACATTCACATTTAAATATCAGTAGACAAAGCTTAAAGGGCCAGTAGTCAAAATCTGGTAACAAGAGCAAGCTTTTGTTGTATGCTTTCAGTCATTGAGTTTGTAGATTCAGAAGGCCAGCCAGGTTTGCTTTCTCACAGACAGTGTCTCATATGACTTGATTGCATGATTTCTTTTAGCAGCAAGAGTGCTTGGCCTCACCACTCCTTGCCTTTTGATTGTTCATAGGTTTTTGACTCTGCTTACTGAGCAGGTCTGTTTTAGAGGAATGTTTGTAGACTTTCATAAAGCCCATCTTTAATTTTTTTTACTGTTTAACTTTAAATGACTGTCAGTTATGTGGCACCTTGATGGTTTTTCTCAGTAGTGCTATTAAGAGTACAAGTATATATATAATTTATATGTAGGTCTCATGGTAGATTTTTCGTTTATCAGTGAAGTTATGAACACACAGTTTGCTGTGGATAAAATTTGCTGAGTTTCAGTGGTTTGTTTGAAATTTTGTTGACAGATGATATGTACAGTATAGTATGTTAAGCACATTGGGTCTTTTTACTTTGTTCAGTTATATTTGTTGTTGTTGTTTTTGCTTCTTGTGTACTCATTTCACTTTGCATGGTCTTCTTCCACTACATTAAAGCACTTTTCTGAACTATGCCTTTTTGGATGCTAAAATGTAAATTAAACAATATAGCAATAGATGCATGCATGAAGTCTTTGTCAATCACTCTTTAATAGAAATGAAACTGTTTGAGATAACCATATTTGAAATAATAAAAAAAAAACTAGAGAGAAAAAATAAAATAAAGAAGTGTCTTTTCTTTTAGAAAGCTAATGTTACAGATGGATTCGGATGAATGACTGTCGTCTTGATTGCTACCTAGTAAAATCATTAGTGACAAAATTAATAAGAAAATGACAGAAAGTGACTGCTTTGGCTCTACTTCTCTTTGCTAGATGTGTTGCGTAACATAAGCTAACAGGCCTTACTGAAAGAACAGCGTGTTCTTGCACATGCTGCATACTAAAACAGAAGGAAACCAGACACGGTCACATGGACGGATTTGGTTTTTCTCTGAATTGCTTTTCCTCTATCTGTAGCTGCATGATGAGCTGATGCCACCTCTTCTTCCTTCCTTTCTAAATTGTTTTAGCACAGTTTAATTCCTCAGAAGGTTGGTTTAATTCATCACAAGTATTACAGGTACTATTTATTGGAGGTAAGAAATGTAAATTGTGCTATGTTAGACAAATGCCTTTTATATCAAGTGTAAAGATTTTAATCTAAGTACAATAACTTATTGTAGTAACTGCAACATTTTGAAATTATTGATCTTATTCTCATCTTCTGAACTTTTAAAAAGAAAATGTGAAGCCAGCTTGAGTCATCAACTCATATCTATGTCTAACTGTAAGGTATCTGCTGAGAGAGCTTCATGCATAAATGGTGGTTGGGTTTCTAAGCATTTAAGGATGCCACATCTTTTATGATGAACACTAATGAGAGCATTGCTGCTTCTCTGTTTTATCTTCCAACTTAAATGTCAAAATTGTAAATTAAAGCAGCAAGAAAACATTGGAATTGGAATACACACGTGGACAAAATTGTTGGTACCCCTCGGTTAATGAAAGAAAAACCCACAATGGTTACAGAAATAACTTGAATTTGACAAAAGTAATAATAAATAAAAATTCTATGAAAATTAACCACTATAAATCAGACATTGCTTTTGAACCATGGTTCAACAGAATTATTAAAAAAAAATAAACTCATGAAACAGGCCTGGACAAAAATGATGGTACCCTTAACTTCATATTTTCTTGCACAACCTTTTGAGACAATCACTGCAATCAAACGATTACTGTCAACGAGACTTCTACACCACTCAGCAGGTATTCTGGCCCACTCCTCATGTGCAAACTCTTCCAGTTGTCTCAGGTTTGAAGGGGGCCTTCTCCACACACCATGTTTCAGCTCCTTCCACAGATGTTCAATAGGATTTAGATCAGGGCTCATAGACGGCCACTTCAGAATAGTCCAATGTTTTCCTCTTTGCCATTCTTAGGTGTTTTTAGCTGTGTGTTTTGGGTTATTGTCCTGTTGCAAGACCCATGACCTGTGACTGAGACCAAGCTTTCTGACACTGGGCAGCAGATTTCTCTCTAGAATACCTTGATAGTCTTGAGATTTCATTGTACCCTGCACACATTCAAGACACCCTGTGCCAGATGCAGCAAAGCAGCCCCAGAACATAACAGAGTCTTCTCCATGTTTCACAGTAGGGACAGTGTTCTTTTCTTGATATGCTTCATTTTTGTGTCTGTGAACTGCCACCTTCACCTGTGAGCTGATGTGCCTTGCCAAAAAGTTCCAGTTTTGTCACATCTGTCCATAGGACATTCTCCCAGAAGCTTTGTGGCTTGTCAACATGTAGCTTGGCAAATTCCAGTCTGGCTTTTTTATGATTTGTTGTCAACAATGGTGTCCTCCTTGGTGGTCTCCCATGAAGTCCACTTTGGCTCAAACAACGACAGATGGTGCGATCTGATACTGATGTACCTTGACCTTGGAGTTCACCTTTAATGTCTTTAGAGGTTGTTCTGGGCTCTTTCGTTACCATTCGTATTATCCGTCTCTTCCATTTGTCATCAATTTTCCTCCTGCGGCCACATCCAGGGAGGTTGGCTCCAGTCCCATGGATCTTCAATTTCTGAATAATATGTACAACTGTAGTCACAGGAACATCAAGCTGCTTGGAGATGATTTTATAGCCTTTACCTTTAACATGCTTGTCTATAATTTTCTTTCTAATCTCCTGAGACAACTCTTTCCTTGGCTTCCTCTGCTCCATGTTTAGTGTGGTACACAACATGTCACCAAACAGCACAGTGACTACTTGGAATCCTATAAATAGGCCGACTGACTGATTACAAGTTTGTAGACACCTGTGATGCTGATTAGAGGACACACCTTGATTGAACATGTCCCTATGGTCACATTATTTTCAGTCTTTTCTAGGGGTACCATCATTTTTGTCCAGGCCTGTTTCATGAGTTTATTTTTTTAAAATAATTCTGCTGAACCACAGGTCAAAAGCAATGTCTGATTTTCATTGGTTAATTTTCCTAGAATTTTTTTAAAGAAACGCCCAGATGCCCAGGCCATCCCTCAAGTTATGAAGCCGAGCCCATGCAGACAGGGGGGACACAACTTAAGCTGCAGTACACCTTACCCTTTTTCTCACCTCTATTTGCTTGAGCCCTCAATGGACTTCAACTCGCTCAGGTCAGCTCCAAGACCGTCCCCATCACTCTAGTCCTGGCCGGAAATCACTAAGAGACTCTCACTTTCCACCTCATCGATCACTCCAGTCCACCTCTCGTCCTGGGATATCCGTGGTTAAATACTCACAACCTGCACTTTGACTGGGCCAAGAATGAAACTGTTTCCTGGAGCTTGGATTATCATGCTTGCTGGAGGTGTGCACAGATGTTTGACTCACCAGTACCCCCAGTTACTGATGAGCAATGAAGTGACATTGTTTACCACAATATAAGCAAGCATTTGTGTTTCTACAGAATGTCTTCTCTTGAGTGGTGCTAAACTGCGCTCAATCAAGTTGCATTGGCTCAGGTTCAGGACTTGATAAAGGGGAGAAAGCATGGACAGAACAAGAAAAAAAAACAAAAAATAAAATTGCCCGACAGAACCCTAGCTCCATCATTCATCTCCAGGACAGGCACAAGAGGTTCTTGAATCTGTGGAGGGGGAACTGAATTGGACCTGGAGCCTTTAGCGGGGAACAAAGGTCCTCGATTGGCAGTGGAGGGACATTAGCTGGTGAAGGAGAAAAGTAGGCCATTTGGCATGTCAAAGTGGACACTTTACTAGTAAGCAGATTAACCTGATTTAACAAAAAATAACTACTTTCCACCAAACTTCTGAGAGAGCTCCTGACTTGCAACAGCCTGTTGGATAGGAGGGGAAGGTCCTAGGTCATGGCTGAGTTCACTGTCTGTTGGGTTCATTGAGGCTGGGCCGTACTGTCTTGGGAAGTCAGAGAGCCAAGTACAGACAGAAAGCACAGCAAACCAACTTCAAACACAACAGTATATTTCACAAAGAGTAGCTGACAGGGAGGATGTGCATGCAATGACAGGAGTGGAAACAACAAACAGTGAAAGGGATGAGGCTACAAAAACAACTAAGTAGGGGAAACTAAATGCAAGACTGCAGAACAGACTATATACAAAGTAATACAAAAGAATTACCAAGGTTCATTAGCGACCTCTGGGGGACAACTGAAGGAATAGCCAAATCAGAAATCTAAAGACAAGGGGGGCACAAGGAAAGCTGGTCGACACACAATACAGACTAAATACTACGAATATCAAGGGGAACTCACCAGAACCAAGTAAAACAAGGCTAGGAACAGGAAAGGGGAAGATTACAGACTGAAACGCTTACAACTACGAACCAGGAAATTACTCCATGGCAGTTGGTGAACCACTCGTTACTGGAAAAAGAGGGAGGTTAAACTAGAACGGAAGAGAAACTAAGCAAAAATAACTTGGCCTGGCCTGACTGTAGTCATTACAATGGTCCAGTGCCAAATGGTGAGCTCAGCCAGTGTTTTATGGAGCTTGGGTGGTGAACAAGTGAGCCATTCACCAGTGCAGGTGTTCTCACTCAGCTGATTGTACCATTGAATCAGCACACACACACATGCGCGCACGCACGCACACACACACACACACACACACACACAGGAAGGGAAAAGGGGAAGGAGGGAGAAGGGAAGCTGCTAAGCAGAGGTGGAGGGCTCTTTTACTAATAACTACTTTTTCCAATTGGATGCTACCTAGTTACTTTAATTACCACCTAGGTTCCTAATTTCTTGAGATACTGGCTACTGTTTTAAAAGGATAAATGCAAGACAGCATGATGACAAACAGAGAAGTGCAGACAGCACTGGTATTCTTTACTGTATTCAATAAACTATTTTAGAAATACATTCTTTAAGTATGTGGATGGGTAGAAATTAATCAAGGCTACAAGTGAAATTCAGAAATGACTGAAGAGATGATGTCGTGAATACTACTGCACTGCAGAAGGATGCATGTGTGGTAGCATGCCCTGCCAGTTGCATAATATTTTGGCTCTTAGTCAATTCTAATTAGAAGAGGCCAACACAGTGACTGAACAATTTATGCTTTAATAGTGTGTAATGATTTGAGGCTGTTGAAGCAGAAACAAAACAACATGGACAAAACGGAACAAATCTCAGGCCCTAACAAGGCAGAACCTCTCATTTGGAATAAACATTCATTATTCCTTTTTTAAATCAACTCAACAACACATTAACACATGACATAACTCCAGTATGCTCTTCTCCACCAGCTTAATGTTACTTAATGAACTTTTCTTGTTTTAATGGTCAGTGTTATTGGTTATGTACAACAACAACAGCAAAAATAAATATACATATACATGTACATATATATATATAAACTGTGACACAATTGTCTTTGCTTTCAAATCCTTGAGATGAAAAGAAAGGTCCCACTTTAGTTATCACTCTGAGCACAGAGCTCTCACCTTTGTCCTCACAATTATTGTTGCCTACATTCTGGTGCCCCATTTTCTCTGACACTTTCAAATGTTTTATCCAGCTCTGTGATTAGGAACTATGTTGGGTTGACTTTCTGCTCTTTCCTAAATGCCTCATGCTGCCTGCAGTTCATAGTTGACAGTAAGCAAAACAAATCTGTTTTTAGGTTGCTTTCACACTCTTTAAGCATGCAAAAAATGTCAAACCTGCATGACAGCCATTGAAATTCAGTATTGGAACTTCTAACCATGTTCTTACCAAAATGTCTGAAGAATTTTTTAATCTCAGTACCAGATTTTTAAAAACACCTTTAACTCACAGTCTATTGAAAATGTCCTAAAATGTGCCACTGAGCCCATAAACTTATCACGAGAATGTTTACTGAGGTAGCAAATCAAGGGGGGGAGAAGGATTTTTAGTCACAGGTTTCAATACAATCTGGTTTTATATGCTGTAATTCAGACTTCTTACTTCAATCGGAGAAGTCGTCATGCTGGCTAGTTAAGTAAATGCAGGTTCAAGGCCCTTTGTTTTTACTCGGAAGGAGGATAACTTTATTTTGTCTCCTTTCGGTTTCTTTGAGTTGAAAGTGGCTTTGTGCCAAGAGGTTGTACTTCAAACATCTACAATGTTATGTAAAAATGTACAAGGAAAACTGCACAGTTTTCCCAAAAAGGCTAATTAGCAGTAGCACTGTTGTGTGCTATATTGTATTTGTCAGTTGACATTTCTAGCTTATAGTTCAAAAGGTTTATCCACATAAGGATTATGGATTGTACAAGATTCTGTCCGTATAGTCTCAGTATCAGTGTCTTGCTGTGACACAAGTATATAGGGCTCATGTTATAGACAGGCCAGGAATATAAAATAGTGTTCAGAACTAAGTGTTATCTCTTTAAATGACCACATCCTGAATCTTTGTAGCTCTGAAGGTGTCTTAAGGTACACCTGTATGGCTTTGTTAAGTATCATAATTATAAATGTGAGCAGCTGTGTGATAAGGCAGTCAGCTGGGAGCAATCGCAGGAGATAGTTTTAAAAAGAGACGGAACCCAGGAGAACAATACATAGATGTGAAGCTCAGAGTAATTTAACAAGGCAGACCTGACCCAGTTCGTGGACTAGAAGTACAATGAAAAAACGTTTTTCAAAGGAAACAGCTGTGAGTGCAATCACTGGAGAAAGACCAGCAGGGTCCTATGCTGGTGAGCCTATTATCTGGAAGTGATTGGATTGGTTTATCAATATACCTTAAAATTGACTGTGAAATGTTGTCTTCATTTTGCCATGTCCTCAGTTTATAATGAGTAATAAAAAGTCATCCACATACAGCATGCAAATAATACATATTTACATAGCTGGTTGTTACATTGCTATTAGTCACACGCAAACAGCAACCTATCCATCCATCCATTCTTTATCTATACACCGCTTAATCCTTACAAGGGTCGCGGGGGGACAAGCTGACTTAGGGCAAAGGACCTCGCAGCAAGGTCGCCGGTTTGCAACCCAGTGGAGGCATCGGGATCTTTCTGCGTGGAGTTTGCATGTTCTCTCCGGGTTCTGCGGCTTCCTCCCACAAGTCCCAAAACATGTTGAGGTTAATTGGTGATTCTAAATTGTCCATAGGTGTGAATGTGAGTGTGCTGTTTGTCTGTCTCAAAGTGTAGCCCTGTGACAGACTGGTGACCTGTCCAGGGTGTCCTCTGCCTTCGCCCTGAGTCAGCTGGGATAGGCTCCAGCACCCCTGCAAGCCTAGTGAGGATTAAGCGGTGTATAGATAATGGATGGAAGGATGTTTAAATATTATTAACCCAAGCTGAGTGAAAACTCCCTTGAGTTAATTTTTCCTTCACCTTGCTCTTTTCCTTCAGCTTGTAATTTTTAAAGCACATTTTACCTCCCTGTTTTAACCTCCTTTTTTCAGATTTAGTGCCAGTGTAGAATATCATTTTCTTTTTGTTGAGAATTTTCTTGCGTTCTTTGTTTATCCAGGGTTTATTGTTGGGATTGATTGTTCTATTTTTAGTGGGAATGACATTGTCCACACAGGAGATGTATGAGGATGCTGTGTCCACTTGTTCGCTGATGTTGCTGGAGGGTGCCAGGAGGTTGTCGCAGTCTGTGGATTCGAAGCATCCTGCAGAGTTGCCAGACTGTCATTTGTGCACTGCTTGATGTTTTTGACAAGCTTCTCTGTCCTCCTTATTACTGGGGTGTAGGCTGGTGCCAGCAGGATAGTGTGGTGATCAGCAGAGCCCAGAGGGGGAAGAGCCATAGACCTATATGGGTCTGGAACAGATCCATAATATTTATCCGGAGTCTTACTTTGGCAGTTGGTGCAGGTGATATAATGCTGAAATCCTTTCAGTGACTTGTCAGCTGAACAGTTGTTGAAGTCTCCCAGAATGAATTTGGAGAGTCTGGGTCTGAGTTCAAATCTATTTATAGTGGTTTTGATGTGCTCAATTGTTGCTGTGGTAGCTGCTTTGGGATTAATGTAAACCAGGATTTAAAAAAACAACAACAAAAAAAAAAAAAACAGTCGAGTGAGTTCTCTGGGCAGATAGAAAGTACAGAGGGAGACAGCCAGAAGTTTGATGTTGCACAGCACTGACGACGACCGTTGAGCACCAACAACTCCACAGAAAGACAAAAAAGCAGAAAAAACAGAGCCCAGGAACATCCCCAGTTGTCCATATTGCCATTGAAGTAAGTTCTCAAAACAACAAAAAACTAAAATGGAGAATGCACACGTGAAAGTTAAAATTAAAAAAAGTTAGAAAAAAAGAAAGAAAAAGGCAGTTGGACATAAATGGATGGTGTCGAGCTGAGAGATAATATTCACTACTAACAACTTTAGACAAAAGTACCTATGAAAAAACACAAAATGTACAAATATATAAACAATACAAGCACTCTAGCTGTCCGTTCAACCAGTGCATAGATAATGAATGGATGGATAAACAAGAGTGTATCTGCACTTATGTGAAAAACAAGCAGATTAACTTTCCTAAAAACACAGGATCCACAATGGGAAATGAATGTTAGCACCTTTAGAACTATGCTGTGGAGTAAATTCATGACAATAGAAATTG